GATGATACATGATGATGATACATGATGATGATACACGATGATGATACATGATGGTGATACATGATGGTGATACATGATGATGATACATGACGATGATACATGACGATGATACATGATGATACATGATGATGATACATGATGGTGATGATGATACATGATGATGATACATGATGATGATACATGATGATGATACATGACGATGATACATGACGATGATACATGATGATACATGATGATGATACATGATGATACATGATGATGACACACGATAATGATGATGCCTAGCAAATTTATTCATAGTTTCTCTCGTTTTTGGTACTTTGTCCTTAATAAATAATACACTTACAGCACTGTAATTCAGAGTATAGAATTTGCGTACTGCCATGAACTCGATCGTCATCCGCTCTTTATATAATTAACGCAGGAATTTTAATTGTTAATAATAAGTGACCAAAGAATATTTACCACACATATATCCATTGTCATCTAAGTACTGACCAAGAGGACATTCTGGGCTCACATAAAAAAGCTCGAGGGTATTTGCAAGACCAATGACGGATGCTCTTGGATTAGCTGTCGTCAATACCGTTCCGTTTAAAGCATGCGTCAACCTTTTCAGTTTTCGAACAAGATTCAGACGTGCATCTGCAAACACCTCTACTATCTCATCAGCTTCCTGGTCGTTTTGATTGAAACGAATCTCATCACTGACATAGAAAAATATTCTTGCAATAGACTTTGAAATCGGGATGTATTTCATATTTGAAATACTTTTTATCGGGACACCCACTGTTGTAGTTACTAAGTTTATCAGATGATTCTTCAAAGTTATGTCCATTCGAGTGGGAATATGCAAAACGTTTTCTACCTTACAGCTCGTGTTAAGCTTAACACAACCATTTGTAGCATTGAAGATAACAGCAATTTTAGGATTGCTTGGTGTGGTTTTTAACACATCTAGCCTTGCTTTTCTACTTGCAGCTGTATAATTCATTCTTTCATTACGTATGCTTGCCTCACAATAGTAGTATCCACCTTTTTCTACTTTATCTGGAACTACGTACAACAGATTACCGTTCTCGTTGGTCAGTTCCACATACCACTTAGAAAAGAATGGTTGAAAAAACCATGCAATATTTGGCAAATCTCTCTGATGCAAAGGTTTTGCACTGGCCACACACGAGAATGTAACCCCTGACTGCTTGTTCAAAGGAACTTGTACATCTGTTGGATGCTCGACAATTGTTGGCTTTTTTTGTATGACTAGCGCAGTTATTCCTGAGAAGGTACTTCCCTTGTGATTTGCAGCTTCACATCTGTACAATCCTTGACTGGTTTCATTCAGTAATCGTAATTCAAGATCATCACTTTTGTCAGAAACCTTTAAGATTGTATTATCCTTTCTCCATGTATAAATCACTTTTGTCTGGCTTTTTACATTACATGGAATCGTAATGCTTTCTCCTATGAGGCGCTTGATTTTTCGGTGCTGAGTCGAAAGCATTTTGGGCTTCTCACCACAAAGGATATTCCAATCATTCATTTTGCTTAGAAGTAACAATAAGTTAGGCAATTTCGATTTGGCCTCTTCTGTCGATACGTCTTCTTCTAGCAGTTCCTTAATACCCTTAACAAGCTTGAGTAAGACACTTCGTATTTCTTTAGCTTGGGCATTACTTTTCAAAGGCTTGTACATTTCGTCTAGTACCTCGCCAAATTCTTCAACGCAGTCAATGGCACCAGCGCAATCTTTCATATGACGGATTTCTGTCATGTTCTCGACAAAATTCTTCCAATCATTTATGATTTCGTTCCATGACGTCGTTTCCAGTTTGCGTCGCTGGGCCTTGTATAATGATATTAGCTCGTTGTAGCTATTCACCAAAAAGGCTTCAGAAGATGAAGACTCACTGGGTCCTCTGAATTCGTGAAGGGAATTTAGTTCCTTTGCTATATCACGATCGTGTGTGTATTTAGAATCTAACAGACGTCTTAGCGATATTAGTATGTCACGAAAGAAGTGGCTGGCGTTTTGAGCCATTACACATTTATCATGTTCCAAGACCTCTGATACGTTCATGGCATTTGAAAACTCCAAATTAGCTGATATCGATCTTCTTTTTCTTGATGTTTCGATGGATTGTGCAAGTTTTTTAATGACTGATTTTGTAGCTTGTTCTATTGATAAACTAACATCCTTAAAATCCATGATAACCTTGAATGTTAAGTCAGGTCCATCTTTAGTTGTTACTGTTCCTTTTAAAGGAAGGCGCGACTTTGACAGCGATGATGTTACTGTATGGAAAGATAGGGATGATATTCGAAAGGGTTGCCCAAAAATAGTCTTAATCTTGAGACCTAAACGTACTCCCGGAATAGCTATCAATTTAGACAGAGAATTATTTTTTGTATTAACTTGGGCAATAAGTTTTTTTCGAGAAGCATCGACAGGTTGATGGGCTTGGAATGCCGTTTGTTCTGAAAGTTTGGCTTTAGTAAGCTCTGATTGAATGCGAATGAGTTCTTCTTCTGCGCTTTGCAAATCTTTTAGTTCTGCAGAATATCCTCCGAGTAGACTTTGCTCTATATTGAAGTAAATCTTTCTTACGTTCAAGCATGTCTGGATCTTAGATAGACAATTTGGATCCTGTATTTTTACGCACTTAATATCTTTTCTACAACAATGTTTTGGCTCGTGGAAACCATTCGAAGTTATACTAACAGGTCTGGAGTTACTGCAGTGCCATTCGCGTACTACTACGTTTATTGCATCAAGTATTGGGATTTTTTGCTCATACCTGAGCGCTTCAGTACTGCCAGATTCTTCAACATACTTATGATTGCAACCAGAGTTCGCAATGGCATTGACAAATCCCTTAGCCATACTGAAGCCTAATCCATTTGGTATAGCGTTGATTACACCAAAAAGGTCCTCACTTATTTCTTTCACCTTTTCGGGGAAAAGATTTCCCAATACTTTTGGCATGTTTTTCAGTAAACCATCCACTGTCATATTTGTACCACTAAAGACACCAACAACCCTTCTGGTTACATCTACGAGCTTTTGGATTTTATTCAAACCATCTTCGCCAGTGATACTCTTGAAAATGTCGGTTACATTTGGAAGAGAAACTGGAAGAAGTAGGTTAAGAAGCTTTTCAATTTTAGGGGAAAATTGGTCTTTCAACTTTTCGCTTATTAATCTGCCGATTTCAGGTCCTCCTCGCAAGGCAGGAACTTTTGTCTTCATTTCTTTGTCAATATCAAAATTTGCCAAGTTCGGAGAAAGACCAGAGATAACACTGTTTATATCTACATCCCCAAACATTTTTAGGACAGGAATCGCATTCTTGAGAATTTCATTCACGTCGAACTTTCTCTCCAAATTAGGAAAGGCTGTCGCAAAAATACGATTTACGTCGAAATTTTTAATCATAGGCAAAACACTCCTTATCATATTTTCAAATCGTAACTCTCCTAATCTTGAACTATTGACATCAACTGTTATCATACGTCGTAGTTCAGCTTTGATTAGCCTTTCCAGATTTAGGCCTCTTTCAAATCCAGCAAAATGTTTCTTTAAAGTTGTGTGTAGATCAAAGTCGTTTTCTCCCATGACACTTCCAATCAATTGATTCAAATCAATATCATCCAAATTCGCAAAGTTGGATTTGAAAGCATCTGTAATTAAACTGTTGAAGTTTGATGACCGAACAAGGTTTAGAACTACGTTTTGGAGCTGTTTGACCTGCTCATCAGTACCATGAAGTTTACTTTTGATGATCTTGGCGATATCGAACGTTTTCAGCAATTCGGTGTTCAGCTTGAAAGATGTCATGTCGTTTAAGTTCTTTTGAATAAGCTTTGTGATATTTTCTATTGACCTTAATACCGGCGAATGCATTTTCAGAAATCTATCAAGGTCGACCTCCTTTCCCATTTGTGGTATTGCTTGCCTTATCACCTTTTCAAAGTCAATTGGCTTTTTCAGTCTTTGAGTTTCAAGAACAACATCTCTTAACAGAGTATCAAAGTTGAACGATTTTTTAAATTCTGGCACGACTTCATCCAAAATCTTATTAACGTCAAAGTCAGGTGAAAGTGCTGGGAAATACTCTTTCAATATTTTATTCACGTCAATTGTATTTCGCCTTAGGATATACTGGCGAAGAGCCATGTTCATACTGAAGTTTTTAGGCAGATTTGGAATTTGCTTTCTGAGCTCAACGTTAATGTCGAAGTCACTAGGTAACTTGGGGTTCTCTGCTTTAAGGTATTCATTGAAGTCAGGGATCATAAATTGATCGTTCGAGGCGTTATTCGACAGGAACAAGTTTTCCTGAAGGCTTCGTTTTTTTCTTCCCAGACCAATAAAACTTAATACTGATGTAATTGTGCCTTCCAGAAAAGCAGTAACAAATGACTTGCATTTGCCTACGTCTCTCCTTATAGTAGGAGTGGTCATGTAATCAACCATGTAGGAAATCACGGTAGGAAACAATTTGGGGACCATCGTATTGACAGTAAAACAGTCTTGTTTTTGGTATGTAACATTTGCTCTCTCCCAACACACGCCTGGAACGCAGACGTTTTTACATTCTGGCTTGCATTCTATTAGATTGCATCTTGTTGCGTTCTTGAACTGTTCTATTTGATGCGCATGTCTCAGGAAAACGTCGTCGAATTTTTCTGAGTATTCAGCGTATTTAGTAATTGCTTGCTTTTCCAACTTTTCAAAATGGATTGTCTTATTTCTTGCCTCATTAAGCCTTCCCAGCGTGGATTTCACTAGTTTTGTAACATCTTGTAATTTAGCAATTTTGTCTTCTAAAAGTTTCTTTGCCCTTTTTATCCTATTGTCTGCTCTTTGAACCAATATGATAGCATATTGGTTGATTGAGTTTTCCAGCATCCTCGGAAGTTGAGAGCCCTTACCCATTTTCCCACTTGCGTTGAAAACTAATAAATCCCAATCGTCAACCTTTGAGGTATAAGCAGTCACGTTTATCACTGATTCGAACTTGTTGAAAATATTTCCTTTGGCTCTGAATTTCACTTCATGGTTTGTAATGTTAAGGATGACTACCTTTTTCATTCCAAACAAGGTAACCATAGCTTTAAATCGCATACTTTTTTTTAGTGCATCCAATTGTATTATTTCTCCCTTTTTGATCTGGAAAAGTCTTCCAAGCTGAACATTCCTAGATGGCGATAAGTGCAAAGATGGTACGATGTTATTTTTAGGTAGTGCAAGTTTACTTTTCTTCGTTTGGCAAGAGTTCGAGGTTGCATCATTATTCGCAGTTATCTTTGCCCTCACATTCAGTACACATAACCAGCCTACACAGACTTGTGACAACATGCCAATAGAAATACCATTAAAGTTTTGAATGACAGGGGATCGCTGGGCATCATAATCTAACGACTTGGAAGCGTCTAAGTCACTTTTGAGGACTTCAAGTTGATTTTTTATTATTGCTGCCTTTAAGCGTAAAGAAAGTGTCGACATCAATGTTAAGATTTTCTCAATTTGGTTTTTCAAGCTTTTAACTATATTTTCGAAGTGCCTTGCTTTCTTGTTTTTTAGAATTCTGTTATTCTTGATTATAGACTTGGCTATCGTTACCAAAGTATTCATACTGTTGGCATATTTTTGAAGTTCTGCTCCATCTGCACTTAATTCGGGCGCCTCATTATGGATATTTAATGAATAGATCTCCTTAGCAGCATATCCCAAAACCTTCAGTTTCATTATCAGCCCTGGTGGGATTCGTATGTCGGTTTTACCTCCGCCTTTAATGCTGTGGGTAATATTAATGTCCATTGCGTATTTGTTGCTTTTCGAATTCCGAAATGGAAAAATAAATGGTGACAGTCTTGAACCTTGTAGAGGATTCTTTGATGATTCTAGCTGCAGCTCTATACCCTGGTGTTTTTTAGGGCACTGCTTTTCTTGTTCCCCTAATTTCAGAACCAATTTCACAAAGGTTAATAATTTAAGAAATAACAATAATCTCAGAAAGGGCGAGCAGAACACTTCGACGATAGAGGAACCTCTAGCCAAAACAAAAGGGCCTTTGCGGCACTTTGCTTCGCCCATGTAGTGTATATATGAAATATAAATGGATATTATCAATTACTTTCATTAACACAACATTTGACAAAATAAAATCTTGCATGACTTACCACCAAAGACGAATTTTCCGGAAATTATTTTCGAGTTGAAGTTCATTAATGTTTCATGAGAATCTCCAATTTTAAGCAGGGTATTCATCTGGATCATACCTTTGGCAGAACCCGATAGTTTACAGGTAAATTGTCTGGAGAATAGCTAAAAGAACAATGAAAATGGTAGTGAGTTTTATCACTTTAAGAGATATTTGATGATATTGTACATTGTACCCACTATCTCTCATCTTTGATTGGCTGAGAATTTTCCTGTAATTCTCGATAGCGTGTAAACTATATATGATAAATGCATCTGCAATTTTTCCTGTAGAACACCTAACCTACGGCTTCGGCAGATAACACAGTCGCACGGCTTTGATAAATGATAAATCTCAACCTCATCCAATATCTAATTGTTATAATTGTTGATGTCTATAATATTTAAGTAAGACAGATTTTGAAAATGTACTTATAATGAAAATTAACGCTAAAATCCGACGTTTCGTTATTAAACCTTGATAATGGAGTCAAGATGACTCTGAAACGTCGGATTTTAGCGTTAATTTTCATCATAAGTCTATAATATTATTTTTCAATATCTCACCTCGCTAGCGCATCCAGACTTCATAAAAATATTCCCTGAAATGTTAAAAGCAACTTTGACTTGAGGTCCTGATATGCGAACTTGTGTTTTGCTCTTCATCCATACGTCAAAGTGACTATCTTTAGCTTTTGCTGATGGATCCTGAATTCCAAGACTTGATATGCTAAAATTCCATCCAGACTTGTCCATGTCCCTAAATATTTCAATTTGATGAAATTTTTTCCGTGCTTTTGATGAGAGGCCAACAAATGTTTTACTTTGACAGACATCAAGGGCCAAGCAGACACGCTCTTTTGATTTGAACGCTTTTGTATCATCGCCGATTTTAGTAGTGAATGCTATGCTAGGTTCGAAGAAAATACTTGAAGGAGATATTGGAAGCTGTTCACACATTCCTGATCCATCGCTCATGGGTTTACCTACACTGACCATTAGGTTGGTAACATCAAAGACGTCATTACTTTGATCAAGCTGCAACTCAATCCACTGTGGCAGAACACTTGACAGAGACTTAAAGATGTTTTTTGGCAAGGCATCATTTTGGATAAACTCAAACAAGTAATTTTTTTTCATAGGAGTGGAGTGACATTTCCCATCTCTTACGAAGGACAAGTCACTACCAGCTGGTACGTTTTGAAGGGAGGTTTCTTCGATCTTACTAAGTAACTGTTCCCTTGTAAAAGAAAGTTCATTCAAGCTCGCTCCGAAGAGTGAAATGGGAATGTTCAAGCTCTTAGTTCGTAAGTGAACTATACCTTCAGTTGATGTGGCACTTGGAGTACCCCAAGGAAAAGTTGAAGTTAGACGTGCATTGCATTGGAACAAAGATTTTGGCAACTCATGACAACCTTCTGGTAGATTCCCTTCCGAAATCTGAAGGCGGTTGTATACGTTATCCTTGCTGACACTATCGGGACCAACAAAGATCGTGTTCTCCTCTGGAGCCTTAAAAAACTTTGCATCTTGACCGTCTATAGTATATGCAATAATGTGCAGCCCTGGTTTTTTGGGAGTAAGAGTGAATGCTGCCTGTCGAGACAGTTTTGAGATTCGTAACTCACTTTGTGGTTTCACCAAGATTGCTCGAGTTGATCTGATTGTAACTGTTAACTTGTCCTCGGGCCGTGCATACAAATAATACGCTTTAGATTCTTTATTAACTTTTAGTCTTTGATACGTGGGCGTGGTTATGATACCCGTTTCACACTGTGGACCTTCAAAGCCCGTGTCTTCACAGTTACAGAAAAAACCCTCTTCTCCTTGTACAACACATTTTCCACCATGACGACATGGGTTGGGTTGACAAAATTTCAATTCTGAAAATTTAGATTCAATTTTAAAACCCCTATTAATTGTTAAATTAGATCAAATATAATTGTTCTTCTAAAAGGGAATGCCCCATTCACTGCTATTTCAACAGACTCTTCGAACTTAACAAAGCATGTAGGAAAATAATTAGTAATACCACTTACTTGAGCAGGTAAAGTTATTCAAATTCCAGACCGCAAACTCCGACGAACTATCAAGCACACATGCTGCTATACCAAGTTTGTTTCTGTACAACCCTTTTTCACATTCCAGTGAACATCTTGAGTTTAATACTTTTTTACATGGTAAAACAACCTCGGCATTCTCTGGTGCGGAAAGCTGGGTACATCGCTTAACTGAGAAAGAAAGAAATCATCCCCAATTATTAACTCAATGATTCTAATTCCAAGAATTCCCAAGTCCATTCTTCAGGACGAAAAGCACGAAAGACTTCCGAAATTTAATTCGGCTGAAACTTCAATGGAGTAATTTTTAAGAGTTTAATCATCACTGGTTGAAGTTTTTTTCTTTATGTTCTATTGGAAAGTATTATATTTTTATGAATTTTTATAGGTGTATGTGACGTCATACACGACACTAAGCATTGCTAGTTCTCCTTTAAAATTACTAATCACGTCAAAGAGAAAGTACAAATTAACATTATCTAATTTTCACTGAATTATATCACTATGCTACCACCACGCGTACCTTTACATACTGTTTTTGTGCCATCCCACTTCCCCGAAGAAAGGCAAGTTCTTTCTCTTGAACCAAACAAGTCATATAAAGAATCACACTTTGTAAAACACTTTGATCCAGTAGAAAAGCCATTGCACTTCATGCTACCATGAACAGGATTTTCGATAGACTCACATGGAAGTGCTAGTGATTAAATATATATATATATATATTGATGATGAATGCATTAAGCTAATTGATTTCAAATTCTCATGGAAGTGTTAATTATTAAAACAAAATGTGTAATTTTTGAGAAATATATTAAAAGTATTAATTYAAAATTTGCAGACTGACCTCGACAAGTTCTCTTATCTGCATTTAGTCTGTAACCATGCCCACAAGAGCAGGCGTATGAACCAATGACGTTGTGGCAATTTTGATCACATTTGTGGGCCCCATTCTTGCATTCATCCACATCTACAGAAATACAAAAGTATCGCATTTCGAAACACTGAAAAAACTACAGTTCTAAAGAAATAAAAAATAGAACAATGAGGCTGCCACACCTATGCAAACCTTTCCTGATGACTGTAAGCGAAATCCGCGTTTACACGAGCAGATGTATGAGCCAACAGTGTTCGCGCACAGCTGCTCGCAATCATTGCTACGGACGCATTCATCGATATCTAGGAAAAAGAAATAGAAATTCGTCAGCAACGAAGAAACTATGAAAAGTGCGTTTTACCTTAGCTTACTCTCTTCAAATGGAGATTTGGCGCAGGGCTGACAATCAACTAGTAAAAGCAAGGTTGTTATAGAAGCTAGAAACAATAACCTGTGCTAGCGGCCTTAAGCGCCTCCTGGTACGAAGAGCATATAATATTTTTAAAGTACCTGAGCAGCGAAATTTGTCGTTATTTAAAGCGTATCCTTTTGGGCACGAGCAAAAGTAGCCTCCTAAAATGTTGTTACACTGCATTTGGCAAGGGGTAACCAGACTACACTCATCAACATCTAGAAATTAATAATAAAATGATTTTAAAAAAAATTAGTTCGTGTTATTACAACTCGCCGAGGCATATTAGAAAAGAAAGATACAGCTGGCACAGCGGTCTGCTTGCGCTGTGAAAGCGCAGCCTCTCGTCGCTGTGGTTGTGGGATCGGAGCACCTCTCGTAACCCTACATCTCGGTCCTCTCCTGTGCTTTGAGGGTTTTTCAGCGGGTCTCCGGCTTTTCTTCCTTCTGCAAACCAACTTCTAAAATTCCAGTTATAATTAAATCTCCGAATGCTTTAGTCATGTCAGGGTATAGCTCAGGGGAATGAGCAAACACATTTTATTTCCGTTTTTTTGTTGTCTCTATAGTAAAAACTTACCAATACATCTTCGACGATTTGTATGTAGTTTAAATCCCAAACGACATCGACATCGAAAGGTACCATAAGCATTTAGACAAATTTGAGAACAACCTCCATTGATTGTTGAACACTCATTAATGTCTGTAACATAAACATGTTTATGGAAATTATAAGACAAAATATGGTTGAGGTTTATTATTCTAATAATTATATACTTATAGTTTATGTCTTATAATATTTAACTATATTACAGTGCGGATATTCTAACCATGAACACTTCGAGGTCTTTTTGACATTTTTTCAACATTTTTCAAACTTTATTTAATGCGTTATCCAATCACGACAATCGTTAGGAGTTCTATTTTTAGCTTTCTCATGGGAACTACTGAAAAACTAAATCACATCAATTATATCGTGTGTTCTGATTGGATGATGCCTAAAAGTTGTTTCATTCCTTTTAAGAAGGAGATCGCTGATTGGATAGTTGTAAAAGTGTAGAAAAAATGCCAAAAAATGTTCATGGTTAGAGTGTCCGCACTGTAATAATATAATAATGATGATGATGATGATGGTGGTAATGATGATGACGTATAATATGTCCTCAACATGCATGTCCTGAGAATGAATCGTAATTAATGAATCACTTTTATTTAAACACGGTAGTTCCATAAGTAAAGAAACTAGTTTACATTAAAGCCGTATATAATGTAAAAGTTACTTACATTGGAATGATTGAAATAACATAAATTCAATAAAAATAGTTAAAATTAATTGACAATTTGCGTGGCTGATAATAATTCATTTAAATTTTATATTGACGACTTTAAGTTATGAGGTAGTGAGTTCCATGTCATCGCACCTCTATATGAAAATGACCCTTTATAGTACACGGTCTTTGGGACACGAGGAATCTCGATGTTGAGAGAGAGAGAGAGAGAGAGAGAGAGAGAGAGAGAGAGAGATTATACCTTTACATTTGGTTCCATCTTCTGACAGTCTTAAGCCTCTCATGCAATCACATGAATAGGACCCTAATGTATTGTAACACCTTTGTTTGCAGTTGTTTGTAACTGGCGAGAGACACTCATCGATATCTAAATATGGAATAAAAATATTCCTGGTTAATGTGCTTAGGGAACCTGTATTTTACTATGAAATGATAAAATTCATGCGTTTCTGATTATCATGGTGTGTAATTTTGTTTGAAATTCAGCTTCAGGGGAAGAAAACATTCTTCTTTTCCTTCGAAAACTCAGAGAGTGTTTCCTGAAAAGAAGTCAGTGGGGAGAGTCGGACGGGGGTTGGGATTGTTACACGGGATATTTCACGATGATTGATCGATATAAAATGCGTGCATAGTAAGAATAGTACAAGAAAAATTTCTATAGAGAACCTATCACTTCTTCACTGGTTGAAGCATTATGTATTTTCCACAAACTACATAGTCAGTGGGGACAGTTGAATGGCAGGTAGTAAGTATTGTTACATAAAATGTGTAGTACTATTGCGTGAGGCATTCAAGTATTTCGTCCACAAATAACTATTAATAGTGGATACAATGTCAAAACAAACATGAAACATTTTTTAATATTTATCTTATTATAGTATATATTTCATGTATTTATCGCAATTGTAATTACTTTATTTATATATATATATAATTATCATTTTTGTAAGCTTTAACGTCTGTTTAAAATATTTAATAAAGACCCTCATTATTATTATATATAAATAATTCCCCATTAATGTAACATTAATCTACAACAGTTTGATACCTGCACAAAGTGTAGAATGGATGAGTCTATAGCCCTTTCCACATGAACATCTATAGTTTCCTATTGTGTTCATACATCCTGCTCCACAAGTCTTGGGAGTTAGGCCATTGGCACATTCACATCGCGGTTCTTTAAAGTTTGCGCATTCGTCCAAATCTATGAATGCCGAAGAAAAAACTTACAAAATTACACGGTGAGCGTTGTAAAAATGAAAATGATTGACTGGCTTAAGCCCTTTAATAGCCCTTTCTACTCATGAAGACATTTCAGAGCTTCCTTGAATTCGATTGAAGCTGAGAACAGAAAAAAATTACGTTGGCGAGACTCGTTCCCATGCAGTGATTCATTATTGATGTAAATCAAGCTTTACAATGTTCCCTCCTTTCAAAATTACTATTGCATAAGTCTACCTTTGTCTTATTTTGCTCCATAATGCATAACTATTACAGACCACAAATTGCTACAGACACGTCTCCCCTGGTCACCAAAAGTGATGAACAACCAAATGAAGGGGATTTATCTGAGCTGGAACTAAAACCACGGGTTCTTGCATTGTTTAATACTTACCTATACACATGTTCTTGGAAACTTCATCTGGAATGTATCCTTTTCTACAGCCGCATACATACGATCCTGGGGTGTTAGTACAGACGTGCTGACAATTACCATTCGACTGATAACATTCATTCACATCTAGAAATAAATAAATAAACAAAAACGCTGTATTGCTCTATTTTGCAATTTCTTTGGTATACCTTTTTCACCAAATTGACCCTTATCATCACTCAAAGTCAATATGTTTTATGACAAGAGCACGAGAATTGGAAAGTTTGTAAGAGATGGTTGTGAGCCCCTTTCCCATGTCACCTTGTCTTCCGCTATGAATTATTCAAACCAAAAACCACCGTTTCCGTTCAAAAACAGCCCCTTTCCTAAGATCGTCCAGTGTACAATACTATATGAATACATAAGTAATTACCTCTTTCACACATATAACCTGACCATCCAGAAAAGCATTTACATTTGTCTGCCCCAACGCATTTTCCATGTTTGCATCCATGCCTACAAATAGCTATTCGTAACGAAAATAACGGAATAGATTGATTATGAGACATTAGTTAACAATGTTCGCGGGAAACTACAAAGGAAATTTTCTTTTATGTATAGATAGAGAGATTAGAAACTGAAGATCGTTCTTTACATAATGGCGTCTGTTTCGTATTCTTCTCCATTGGGAAGAAAAGTATTCTTTTATTTTTTGCTTCCATCCATCCATCCATCCTTCTTTCCCTCCCTTTTTTTAAGGCACGATGACACGAAGCAAATTTCTATGCAACTGGTCTCGCAACGGCGTTGCGAGGTAATGGGTAATGGCAGCATGTAACCTACAGCGCAATTGAAAAGGTTACAAGTCGCAGCAATTGTACATGTTTGCGTCTCCGTCGCACCGTGTAAACACTCATTCAACTTGTGTCGCAAGTTGCGAGACAAGATGCAGAGAAAATTGCTCCGTGTAATAGCGCCTTGCTTGCTGGCTTGCTGGCTTGCTGGCTTGCTGGCTTGCTGGCTTGCTGGCTTGCTGGCTT